AGTGATGGCTTTTCTTTAAATTATAAGATATCAAAATACTTCTTAAATATTAGTAAATAGACAAACTATATTTTTAGAAAATATAATTATTTTTTCTATTAGCCTTTTTATCTAGTTGGCACTGTAAAGTATAGAAAAGTTGTTCTCTTAGTTGTGGTATTACATACTAGCATGTAGTAGTTAGTGTTTAGGTTAGAGTCATAGACTTTGGCAGGAAACTAGTGCTCCTGCAGTGTACTTGATGATATCTACAGTAAAGACAAGATGCGAAGTTAATGTCCAGAATAATATACATAAAGATCTCATAAATTCTACTGGGGGAGGAGGACACCCAATCCAGGAATATTGTAAACATGTTCATTTGCCCTCTGCTACTCTGCACCTGAGTATGCACAGTAGCATGGGAAAGAGCAGTTCAGTCAAAGTCAGACACCAAGCTGAGATAACAGTTTTTGAAACATTGCTGGATATCTCAAGGTGACCGTGTGTGTCAGCTGGAAAGGCTGCGACAACGCTGGGAGAAATGCATTACTGGAATAAAATGAGTGAAGTGACTTGAATACAAGGAAAAACCACTACATGGACAAACCACAAAGTTTGGCTGTGGGAAAGCTTTCCTGCCTCATCAAACATCTTAAAATAGATAAATAAATTGTTTGTTAAGCAGTTAGCAACATGGTCTCTGGGGGCCATGAAGCCTGCTTAAAAACAATAATAGATATTGCTGACCCTTCATCTGCAGTTGCGGGAACGGCTTGGCTAACCTGGAGTTGAGTCATCTGTATTGCAAACAGATAATAGATGGAAAAGAGTTTGTTCCAATGATAGACACTTATGAGCATAAGCGCTGAAGCATACATTTACTAGCTTGCTGGTAAGCCTGAGTACTTAGGGCTGTAAATCAGGCTATAAAGTTGTGCCAGGGCTTGGAAAGAACAGCTGTGGTAAAAGTACATGAGAAGCAACAAAATTAGATCTGATTTTGCAAGTTATTTCTGTAAGTATAGGCAATTTTCAGTACATGCTAAAACCTTACTGAATTCAGGAGTCAGGTACGCATTCATAGGTCTTTGCTGACCTGGGACAGAAAGTACTTTATCAGGATTATAGGAAGTGTCTGAGGTTGAGCCAAACTTTGTCAAAGCTTGCAATGTTGGCTTCTAGTGCAAAGTGCATATATCTCCTTCATTTAAAAAAAACTCCTTAACGTCTTAGTCTTGTTCCAGGCTGGCCTTCTTGCTTTGAAGATGAATAGCATCCTATGCAGCTTGCTGTGTGGGTGGTCTCTGAAAAACACATTCAGACTCTCTGGTTCTGCTCTGCATGGGTATTCCCCTGCCTTTCTTACGAGTGTAAGTGCTTCCCTTGTGTCCCAGCTAAGAATTTCTCGTCTCTACTGGGAACTGTGGTGTGTGCCTCTTTTCCCCTCTTGACTGCTGCCATCTGTCTTGGAGATGTTTCTTTTTTTCTTCTTTTTTTTTTTTTTCCTCTTTTTTTTTCTCAGAAATGAAATAATTCTTTAAAAGTGTGATTTTGAACTATTTGATTAAGGATTTCAATGGTCAAATGCATGCAGCAACTCAGTAGCACAGAACCTTAGTGACAGAAGAAATAAACTTCAGTATTTTTATTTTAAAAATTATTAGTGTAATAGAAAGGTACAGGAACAATTTAAGAGACACCCCCTTGCCCCCCAAACAGCCAATGAAACATTGCAACAACAAAGCCCTTCCACATAAGGGAGGAAAACCACAGCTTTTTCCTCAGACTAGCAAGTGCTAGGGATTATATATTTTAAAGCAAAGACAGATGAATAACATCTATGGCCCACGTTTGTGACAGAAGCTAGCCTACGTGATGGCTTGTGTTCAGCTCTGTCATCCCAGGATGATCACTGGGAAGAAATCATCTCTGAGGCACAAATGTTCTTTTCCCTAAAATTATGTCTTATGTGCTGTTTTTGTTACATATCCTCTGCTTACTCTTATTTATCTTCTGTTAACATACCTCTCAGCAAAAACTGAATATGTGTTTGTGTTTTCCCAATTGTTACAGAAAAGAAGTATTTCCTGGTGTGTTAGGGAGACAAGACAATGAAAAATGTGTTATCCTGAAGTTATGGAAAAATTGTGATAGAAATTTTCTGCAATTTTTTAATTCTGATTTTTTTTTTAAATTCTGAACAACTTGCAGAGCTAGTGATTTAGCTGGAGGGAATGGATAATAATACATTTTTATTAGCTTCATGTAATTGACAAAAGTGCATATATTGACAATTTAGATTGAAAGAGTATATTTATTTTTTATTGTAATGAAACTAACTTTGGGGGGTATTTTTTTGACAAATTTTGGTAGTTTCACATTGCAAACAGGCTTAAGCAAGAAACTAGTATAAAACCTATATTATTCCTGTTTGATTTTTTTCTGGGGAAAATAAACCCATGCATTTCTTGTTTAAGATTAGCTCAGATAACTGAGACTATTATGGATGCAGAAATTTAATAACGACATTGAGGATCTTTGTTCCTGGTCAGCAACAAACTATTTGCTTAGAAATGCCACAAGTATGCACACTTCCACCCAAACTCCCATGTTAATCTATATAGAATTTTAGTGGAATGTATAGAAATTAGTTTTTGCCCTCATCCTGGGGGATTTCTGTTGATGCTGCTGTTGTGTTTGATCCTAAGTGCCAGTGTAGTATCTTAGTGACCCATCACAAACTGTTGTATTTATGGCTGTCCCCCCGTATTAAAAAAACTGGTTTTGGATTCTACCGAATTCATGTATTTGTGTTTTCAGGTTTATTCTCACAAAATAACTGGATACTGGGCGGGGAGGGGGACTCCCTGCCATCTCACTTCAGGACTCTAACTTGTGATTTCTTTCATAGCATTTGAGAGAGAGAGAGAGGCTGCTTGACTCTTGAATAGGTGCTTTGAGTCAATTCTTGAAGATACTCCATGTTCCTTGGGCCCTGAAGATAATGGCTTGTAATAGATGGTCACAGTAGGCAGCATTGGCACCTAATCCTGTTACATGGGAAAGAATTTCCTGCAAAACTGTTTTTTCTTCTTGTAAATACCAAAATATTAATGGAAAAGTAACTGTTCATAGTGTTTGCTTCCATCTGTACAGCTGGAGAGTCAGACCTGGCACAGTCCTGACACTTCAGATTCTTAGTTCTCACCTCAGCCTCATGTCTGCAAATGTAGGTCAGGAGCAGTGGGTTAATATGCTTTTCTGGATGCCTATTTACTTTTGTATCTCATTATAGTAATTTTCAAACTCAGAAACTACCAATGTGCAGTGTGGTTGAAGATCTGTTGACCTTACAGCTCATCTAACAAGCCATGCTGTGAAATCTAGGGATGCCCTTTCATAGGTGGCTTTTTTTGGCACTTCTTAAAAGGTGAACTCAGTTTGGCCTCAAGCTAATGGTCACTCTGGAGAACCACAAGCCAATTTTTCACCCTGGAAAGATTTACCAAAGGTCTTAGGATGGGGACTGCTCATTTGCCCAAGTTACATATGGTATCTGCATCAATATACTGAGCTTTTTCCAGTAGGTTGTCATTGTGATTGAGAATTTTTACTGCATCTCACTGAGACCGTTGGTTCATCCTGATGCAGTTCTCCTCTGGGAACTACTTGTACTGTAGCAGTACCAAATTGTGGAAGTCAATTTGTGGGCTGTTACTGGACACTGATTACAGGGAAAAAAAAAGGGATTGCAAAATTAAAAAAAAGGCCTTGATGGGCAAAGTCCCTGTAGAAACTTATAATACTGTAATGCAGTGAAAGAATGTGTTCAAAATAAGAACAAATTGCTTTCTCAGTGGTAACTGTCTCCTATTTACATAGCATTTAGTAACAATCCAAGGAAAGGAAGAAAATTTCTCTTGCCCTTTAGATAATGCTTCCAATCTTGCTCAAATCCAGAACTCCCTGTAAGCTCCAGACAAGATACTTGGTGCAGGAGCTCACGGTACACACAGAACCAAGTAACTTGGGCAAAACATGTCTGACATCAGTGTTATTCATAGAGCACATTTTTATTGGCTACACTGCAGCTCAGGGTTGGAGAGGACTGGCAGCATCAGGCAATGTCCTGATGGTCTCCAGAAGCCACTCGGTCTGATAGCACCCTCCAGATAGTTGACTTTATCTGGCTAAAGCAATGCTTAAATGCTTTATTTTCCCAGAGGGGTGAAGCTGCTGAATGGTGCAGCTGTAACCAGCCAGGTGGCTGGGAAAGGAGCTGCCAGTGAGTCACTGGGCTGTGAGTTGGTCTGTCTCTGGGAGGATGCTCTCTGGGAGAGAAAGCAAAAGAGAAAGTGATGGCCTCGCAGCTGCATCTCTCCTCTTGCAATTAGAAATAATGCTGCTCTGTGGTAGAAGGTGGAGGGCAGATAGAAGGAGCCTTTTGTTTTCTTCTCCCCAGTTCTTCTGGAGGGAGAACAGAGGTCTGAGAGGAATGGGAGAGGTTCCCCCCAGGCAAGTCCCCTTTGCCTGCTGCCCCCCTAGGCCTCAGGGAGTTGCTTTCACCTCAAAGCTTCATCTAGGATGCTTCACAGATTAAAAAAAGAAGAGGAAAGAAATCCTCTCTGCTGTGGTCAATCTGCTATTTTGTCCACAGCAATAGAGAGGTTTCCTTGTGTAAACCTGTAATTAATGAGAGGCGGTGTGCTCAAACACACTGACATTACTCTAATTTATTTCACTTTACTAATGAGCATTGTAACAGCTGTACATTTTAAATAAATTACTCTCCATGCTATCTCTTAGTGGGTTTTGGTGTCATTGTTTCATTGTTACTGAGCAAAATCTCTTGTCTTACATCTAGTTTTTCCTGTGGTTGCACTTTGCCTCTTTTTCCTGTCGTTTAAGGTAGCAAGAGAGAGATCCAGAATAGTTGCACAGCTGGTTTCACACCGATAAGTTAAATCTGTTACAAAAAGATGCCACATAGTTTCCTGATTTTTTAAATTATATTTCAGATACCTCTTATATCTACAAATAAAAAGGGACATTTTCCATGGCCGTTTGCTGTGTTCTTTTTCTGATGCTGCCTACCTGGGTGCCTGTATTGTCCAAGGTAAGTACAAGCAGCAGGCTTTTTCAAATACTTAACTGATAGGTGTGTTCAGTATAAAAAGAAACTCAGAACTGTTGTGGGAGTATAGCTAGCAGTAAAGTACGGGGCTTTTTTAATTGTACTGTTTCCCCGCATTGACATGCACTATAAAGTGTTTTAAGTAATTCAGCCATTTAGCCAACTAAACCCAAACTGGAACTTAAAAAAAAAATTCAAAACAACGGGTTGTCTTAGCATTTATGTGAAAGCATCAATATTAGATTCCAGTTATAAACAAAGCAAAATTCTGTTCTGAATCCTGAATGTAAATGTAGCCTATTCCATTTGACCTAAGCAAGAAAAAGTGTCATTCAGTGCCCTTTCTTATGGTAAAGAAGACTTGTGTGATGACAGAATCTCTGGCAAAAATAGTAGATGTAATTCAAGGATAAAGGTGTGTCCTGTCTCCCTCCCCCTTTTTTTTTCTCATCCTCTCCCTCATTTCCTTAGGGCTAAATTCAGGTATAGGCCTTAGATTGCACACAGAGAAATAGTTAGCTAGATGTCTGATTAGCGATGTCATGTGTGGAAGTCCACTTCATTCTGCCTTAATGTGAATGAAACTCTTAATGCAATATAAGGGAGCATATCCAAACTAAGATTGAGTTTAGACCTTATTAAAAGAGACTTATTTGGAAAATTAAAACACCAAATGCCATGTTTGGGTGCCTAAGTGATGCATCTTTTAGAAGAGGAATCAAATACTGTGCGCCACCTTAAATAATGTTACAGCCTGTGTTTCCCTGCTAGAACAGAATTAAACCAGTCCATATCAGTGAGGATAAATTAGTGTAGAAAAGAGGAGAATCTGGAGTGCATTGTTTCAGTTCTGTCTGGTGCCAGAATGACAGGTACTCAAAGGGTGAACATTACTTACACCTCTGTTTTACAGAGCATGTTTCTGCCACAGAAAATAGTTTAGGATTGCTAATTACTGCTGCAGTTAATAAACCATGAACTTCCCTTGAAACTCATTAATTGAAGCTGCAGTTACAAGGATTTTGTTGTTCAGTTAACTATCAATTCTTCAAAGTAACGTTCTTGACAGATGCTGGATCCTTACCTATCATGGAAGTACCTTGAATTACACTGTATTTAGTGACTATTTCCTTATTAACTAATATTGCAATTGAATTTTTCTGTTTTGTTTTGTATTTTGGATCTGTTTAGCTGAGCTTGGTGATTATGATCCTGATGAACACCCAGAGAATTACATCAGCGACTTTAAGATTTTTCCCAAGCAGTCACAAAAGCTCGAGAAGAAAATAGCTGAAATGCACAAAAATGAACTCAGGTAATTTTGACTGCTGTTTGGTAAAAAGACAGCTAAGAAATACTTTTATCTGTTTCCAAATAGTGTATGTTAATTTAGGAGGGTTTGTTCCTTGGATTATAATAGATGCTCTACCAATATACTGTCTAATATGCTGTATTTGAAAATGCAGTTTCAGCTTAGTGGGTTTTCTCTTCCTGTAAACCTTCATTAATCATAGCTGATTCCTGCTTGTGTGCTGGTAATTTAGACTGCATTCGTTTGAAATGTAGGTCTGGTTAGAGGGAGCGGCTCACATCATGAGAGCTGCTCTGGTTGATTAGTGGAATGACATCTTTCATTTAGGGATGACACTTATGCCTTTCGCTGTGAAATTCCTGTATGTAGTGCAGTTATAAAATTCTTGATAGATATTGACCTGACTGAAACTGTAATTAAGTTATTGTATCTGTAGGTTGTTAACATAGTGGTGGATTGCACAGAAATGTATTTAAATAACTTCTTTGGAAGACTAAGGAGGTGAGATTCAGAACTCTGCGTGCTCTTTTTCTGTCCTAAACTTTTAATAGTGTGACAAAGGGGAATGGAGAAAGATAGGCTAATCAGTCTTTCGGTTTCAAAGTTGAATGTGTTCCTGAAGAACAGTGTTTCAGGAGAGAAGTAGCAGTGAGTTGTGCAACTCTACCCTCTTCAGGATTGTCAGCGAATGACATGCACAGTTGTCGTGACGGTAGCTTGCGTGATGCCCCAGTCATTTCGCTCAGTTGAGGATAGTCCTCGGAAAACTTGGAAAGGAATAAGATATGCAGAAAATCAAATGAAAGCTACATAAAGTAGAAGGACAATTTTTATTCAAAGATTACAAGTCTCTTTGCACTTGCTTAAACCCTCTGTGTTTTGTTTTCATATTGAAGTATATAAGTAAATGCTCCGCTTAAGAATATGAATAGTGTTTATACAAAAATTAGGCTGTGAGACACCAAATTCCTGGGGGAAAAATAAGAAAATGAAGAATTCCTTTTCAGAGGGATTAAAGCTTAAAACACTTCTTTTTTTTCAGAAGCCTATCAAATATGTTGTTCAACTGAAGTGCAACATTCATGACCATAATCTTGCCAATATTAATGCGTCTTCTCTTTTTTCCTTCATGAAACCTATATACTTTGTCTATATTTCTTTCAGTGAAACAATCTTTTAAATGGCACAGCTACATCTAATATTTTTAGAGCGGTCCAGGCTGCACTTTACACTGACCCATAGAAGCAGCCTTTTAAAAAAGAAAACAGAATTTCTCTTACTTTCAGTATTATCCTATACAGTGGCTGCAGATTTCCAAAGGATAAATTGAACCCTTTAAAAACAAGATCTTTCATCAATTCAGCCAAAGTGCAATTGGAAAGATTTTGATCAATTCAGTCTTTCAAGAACAGGCTAGTCCTTTATTTAAAGTTAGGAGAAGGGAAGGAAAGGTGGTTAGCCAAAGCTGATGGTTTTTGTATTTCATAGCCCTGGGAGAGAGGTATTTTTCTGTGTTGTTTTTTTTCCCTTGTGCATAATTCTGCCCATCCATTGTGAATTTAATCTGCTAGTTCCTTTATTGTGAATAACCAGACACATTTTTTTAGCTCCCCTCTCCTGTTGGTATAATGTTCCTGATCCTGTGACAGTAAATGTTACAAGCCTTCACACAGGTTCCTCTGGGATTCTCCTACCTGTGGATTCCCCCTATTAATGGCTGCTCAGTGTGTGAGGATGTCCCCTGAATTTCTTCAGTAGTCTTGGTGAGGGAGACTATTAATTATTGCCTTTTGGAAATCAGATGGTATCAACCCGACTTCTTTTGCCTGTGGATCTGCTGATTCCTGCAAAGAACTCCAGAAGGTGTTTGAGGTATAACTATAATTTATAGCAGAACTCTCCTAATATATCCCACTTACATGTATATGTACCTTAATCCGCTTTCTATTCTAGATTTTACCAATTTATATGTTATGAATGTTAGGTTCAGTGGCTTATAGCTTGTTGCAGCCCTCAGGAGGTGTTTTCTTGCTTTTCTGTTTTCTTTCGCTTATGTCAGAATCTGGTGTGCCTTACCTATTTGTCTGGTTACAAAGACAGTTTCAGAGCTGTCTGGATAGCTACTATCTGGCAATTTTCTACTGTAACTCTGTCTTCCCAAAATTGATCATCATATTACATTTTTTATATCAGGGAGCCACTAGTCACATAAGACTTTTACATTTTTCCAGATATTTAATTCCATGGATCTCTATTCTAGGAGTACAAATTAATAACATATATCTGTCATATAATGAACAATATGAGAGGCCCAATGCCAAACGATTGGATTTCCGTACCTAGCTGGAAAAAGATGATTAGAAAAAACACTAAGCTTAGAGGCTTCTGTCTGATATTGATCAGCACATCTGTTTCACTGCATTCGGCAAGTTGAATTTTCTGATAAGAATTAATGTTTTGCTTCTCAATTAGTATTTAAAAAAATGGTGCAAATGGTTCCCCTGAACTTTTTTTTAACAAGATACTTGAGTGGCATGTTAGCTGAGAGCTAACATGTGAGGAGAGCAGAAGAGGCTAAGAGCCATTTTAACCCAGCTGCCATTCTGCTACCTTCAGAAGAGTTACTTCTGAGTTTCAGCACTGCAAGTGCGTCTGGTTCTTTGTTTTCTTCACACGTGTAAATAAATAAAGATCATGGCATCTTTCTTCTGCAGCAGGCTCCCATTAACCGAAGCTCTTTGGCCTGGAAGAGGCCAGTTCTTCACAGAATCCTGTCTTGGCATTGTCAAGGTCTGTTCACTGGGCACATCTTTTCTTCTGCCCTACAGCATGACAGAAGATTTTGTGTTTTGAAAGATACATGAAGACTGTGAGGGGAGTGTCTGGGAAGCAGCAGTAGGGTACCGTGACAGCTGCCAGTGACTTACTGACTCATCTTGTGTCATTTAGAAGCCTTGTTCTCATTAATTAAAACTGATGTATGACATGGTGCCCTTATTTCTTATCCTTTGTGGCTGTGATAACATCACTGGATTTTAGCAAAATGTGACCTTTTATGTGACTTTCCACTGCACCTAATTGCAAAAATATAAACGTGACAGACAGAAATGCATGTCAGCTTTACTGAGCTGTGATTAATTATCTTGTGAATTTTAATTAATGATTTTTCCCTCATTGAGAAAGGGACAGGTACAGGAATAATTTCATTGAACCTTACCAGTGGTGGGGCAAACACGTGCCTTGATTTCATCACAATACATATTCTCATTTTCCTGTCATTCCAAGTAAGCCCTCTTTTGACACACCGTATGCTGCTGGGAAGCGAAGGGATAATGCTCTTATGACTCTAAAAACTTAGAATATGTGAGGATGCACTAGGAACTGACGAGACTTAGAGACTTGTTCTTAAAAGAATTCAAAATTGATTTGAATGTTATGGTTTTGGGTATGGTTACAACAAAGCATAGCTACTGAAGTAATAGCTACTTGCATTTCTGTTTCCCTGCCACTCTTAATGGATTGGAAAAGATTTGGGCAATGAAAATCTACATATTCTGTGAGTGTGTTCTGGTATACCTTCATCTCCAAGTGAAGTGAATGCTAAGGTCCGTCCCCAGGTTGCTCAGTTGCATGTCTCTTTTCCCTTTTAGTTAGATGTGTGCAAGTGTTTGTAACATTGCACTGTAAAACAAATCAGTGAAATGATGTAAGTTAAAAATAACTTACTTTTACTTGGCTTCCACAAAAGTACATGGAACCACACGTTCAGTTCTCACCTATTTTGGCAGTATTAAAGATGTTTAATACACTGTACTGTGTTCAGTGTATAAAGCCATAGTTCATTTTTATTTCTGGTGACCAAAAGCCCACAGCTTAACAAAAATATAGTGAAGAATTCTGTATAGATTTGGGGAAAACCAAATGAAAACTAACCCATCAAATGAGGTTACACAGAGTCATGTAATCTTCTAAGTAGAGGAGAGGAAAGCTGAGTGAAAGGTTAATTCTTCAAGCATAACAGCACGGACTACTAGGATTACTGGGCTTTTATGGGAAAGATCACTCAGGTGATCTTAATAATCTCTTTGGGATTTGAGGTTTTGTTTTGTTATGGTTTTTTTTAACACATTAGGAGTTTGCTCCTTTCAGACATTCTCAGTTGTAATTTTTCCATGGCAGAATTAGCACTGTTTGTTTGTTTGGGCAACCTGCATTAGTAGCTGGCCTAGTTTTGCTTCTAGCTGTTGCTGTTGGATTTTGTGGGCTTCTCTTACGAAAGAAGGGACTTTGTACATATGTATGCACCAGTGTCAGTACTACTTCCAAATTGACTTCTGTGCTGTTACAACTGTGGGGTTTGCTTCAGATGACCAAATAAAACATCAGATGTTTTTAGTGCAGTCACATTCCTTCCTTCTTATGAATTTATATAAAATCTTATGTCCTTTAACAGAACATTTGTTACTCAATAAAATTCTCTGGCTATTGAAAGACACCTGTCAGCCAGAGCTCCCTGAGGCCAGACACCTGAAAATACAGAGATTTCCAAAGAGAAGATCTACATAAATCCCTATCAAGGGAATTTATATTTGTAGGAATCATTTTTTTTCCCTTTTTTCTTTTTTGAAAGGGCTCAGTGGTCAAAAATAAAGATTACTTTTTTCTATCCCACCTGAAAAGTAATGATAAATTTTTACTTATTTCTGATATGAAATATTATGCCATGTAATTTACATGAAAGTGTTATGTAAAAAGCCATTAATTTATCTGAAAGCCAAATGCAAGCATTAACTTTGTGCAGTAAATTGTAGAGTTACACGACCTGTTCAAATGCCTGTTTCCCAGGCTGACCCTATATAGGTAAATGCAAGTTATTTATTGTTGCTTGGGATGGCCAGCGTGGATACAGGCTCAAGATGGTTGAGTGCTACTGAATTGGCTGTCATCTCCATTGTGTGTATCAAATAATCCAGCTTTTGCAAAAGTCATATGTAGAAGGACAT